TTTCTAGCCTGTCTATCTATGGGTAACAGGGTTGATGTGTTATGCTCGACCAGCTCAGTTTCCCACCACAAAACACCAGAAAATGGCCAAAAAGAGTAGAACAAGCTCACATGCTTTTACACTTTGATTTGACTATTAGATATTCAATGTTTCTTTTGAAAAATATTTTTAAAGGAATAGTTTCACCATATTAAAATGAGAGTTCCGTTCACGTAACAGGATTGACCTTAAAATGAGGGACAAACGAAAATGAATCACTAATCACACTAAATAAATAATAATCTTCAGCAGTGACTTTGTCGAAGCAACATAATAACTAGGGCTTTACAATGATGGTGAAAACTTGAAGAAATGTGTGGGTTAAGGTTAAAATATTTCTAGAAGTGACAGAGGGTGCACAGAGGGACATATCAAAATTATGGATTTTGGCACTTTAGCAAGTCTTTGTTCATAAAAAAATTGAATTTATTTAATTCTCAATGTGATCTATCTTAAAGGGCACTTCATTTAATATAACAGGCTTTTAAAATGCAATATTGGTGCACAATTTTTACTTGAAATATCAAAGGGACGCAAAAGGAACTCTTTTAGTGGAACGACCCAGCTATCCGGAGCCAGATTCCTGCACCTTGGGTCAAAGGGAGAGCCAGGCTGAGCTGAGTTCCAGCACCTTATGGGTCCACAGAGCAAAGTAGGATAAAAGTGTGACAAACCAAGATTAGGGTTAGGGTTGAACATAAGGCTAAGGCTAAGGTTAGGGTTAGGGTTATGGCTCGGGTTAAGGTTGAGCCAGGGTGTGGACATGGGACAAGAGGAAAGTGTATAGAGACATGGCAGATAACAGTTAGCATGGCTAACCCTCTTTTTCTCTTTCCCTGAATAGAGCGATACAGTATTTCCATCTCATCTCACTACTAGTTTTGTTACTTGGAATTCCATTGCTTTTCATAGGGAAACTTCAACATCAAATGCAGTAGTCCTGTCCTGATCTTGTGAAATATTCCCATTGCTAATAGTACAAGTGTAAAAAGGCTAGTCTAGATTGCTTCATTTAATTAGGCCTAAATTCTTCCATTCTTTGTGTGGATTCTCTGAGAGCAATACATGGAAATACATTAAGACTGTAATAGTTTTCCTAAATACCTACAACACACTCTAAGTTGAAAGTAAACCTCCCCTAAATAAGATAATTCCATTATTGGTCATTGTCTTTGCCAAAGTAATCTGTGCAATGATTTCCCTGAAAAGAATAGTAGTCAAAGAGAGTCCGCCGGAGACAGAAGAGGACGCGAGACATCCCACTCCCTATTTTTTTCTGGTTCATATACAGTCAATGAACTAAACAGAAGAGACTCAGCTGCTAATGCATTGGTGTCTATGGGAGAGCCACCCCCTTAAGAAGGCCGGAATTGTGACCATTACTGCCTCCAGCTGGACGGGGTACTGAACGAGAAAATAAATATCCATTGTAGGAAAGGGGGGAAAATGACATCATACAAAATACAAAAATAGACACGTCAACAAACAAAACCCATCCCACTTATTCAATCATTGTCCATTCCAAAATACATCCCTACACAGGCTAAGGGGGAATATTCACAGACAGGATTTCTTGCAAGGCCTCGGCTGTGAAATTACGAAGACCCAATAAACTTTCAGCTGCATTCACAATGATTCCAATTTTCTCCAACTTCTTTTCTGCTTGTGCTGTACAGTTTATGACCATTGCAATAAATAATACAAAGTCCACTTTTTTAACATGTAACATTTCACGATCCCTCGAAGATGAGAAACCTTCACTGGCCATGGTACCTCTACTACCATCTTCCCCGCCACTCCTTCCTTCCACTATTCTCACTGCCTCCAGATAGGAGACACGCTGAACACCCCTTACTCCTGCCACCTTGGTCTTCTTCACTCTAACAGGGCATTCCAGGAATTTGGGTGCATGTTCACCTCCACAATTGCAGCATTTCACTTCATCTGGCATAAGATCAGGGACGGTTTTAGCATGTCAATCTTGGTGGAGCAAACTCACTTATTTTTTTTAGATGCATGCCAGCAAAGCCACTAAACAACACAACACAACACTAAACAATACATTAATTGCACTATAACAGTGACAAACGGTGCCCACAAACTGTGGAGCATTGTCTGGCAGCGAAACAGTTCATTCAGCCTCATTTACTGCCTTTAAAAAAAACATAGCTGATATGGCTGACTTGCTTAAACAAATGTGGTTTCTAATGATAATTGAGCTGTACAAACTATGGCATAAGGGGACAACGGATAATATCGATTAAGACATTAATGAGCGAGCTAGGACGGACGTAGTCAATATAACTATTTGTTCAGCACTTTTGAAATGTACAGCGACAGAATTCAGAACATGGGTCGTTCTTACAGTATTCTCCCTGTACACCAAGTCAGAACCATAGAATATATAAAGGGGGCATATAAGCAGACAATGAAAGCTCTTACAATATTCAATGATTACATTTCTCTAAAACAGGCTATAGTCTACATGTGCACCACCAAGTCAGAACAATAGGCGAAATTATGAGGGGAAAAGGGACCAAATTATTAGTGTGAGGCACATGGGCTACTAACAGCTTACTACAGAACATACACTTAGTATTACTTTCTTAGCTACGGTATACATATCTCCCTGGCATATTACATCATTTATGCAGCAGCATACAAGACATTTTTGGACTCACCTTGTTGTGCTATGCTCACTTGAACAGGAAGGTGGAGCGGCGGTCCTTTGTGGGCAAATTTTGTCATCAAACTTAGTCATTCTCTAGATTGATGGTGCTTTCAAGACAACTGGGAACTCTGAAAAAAACAAGGTCGAATCATGATGATTTCAGTGATCTTCAGGTCGGAGCTCTAGAAAGAGGCCCGAGTTCCCGACTTGCAATTCCGAGTTGGATGAACGTTCAAAATGTATTTTCCCAGTCGGAGCTAGTTTTTTTCCCAAGTTCCCAGTTGTCTTGAACTCACTGAAGTCTGAGATTTCCCAGTCTTCCAGTTGTTTTGAGCGCGGCAGAAGTCATGCTGGATTGACAGCATGGCCAATGTTGAATGTTTATCCTTTTAAGCTTGGAAAAGAGACCCTTAAACCCAGACTTGGGACCATACACCCACTCCACTGAATAGCAGGCTAGTGATTGCTTTGCAATGCTTGCAGTTAGCCACTGATTCCTTCCAAACCACTCATTGTTGAATTTGCGATTTCCAACTTGTTGTGTAATGTTTATGTCCAATGGCCGATGAGCACCGATACGTTTTATCTATAATTTCTCTTCATTATTTCGCTTCATATGACAAGGATTAAAAAGGATTTGCCAGTAGATTGTCGACTTGATTCATGATGATGACTGCTAGCTTGCTAGCTAAGATTTTGAAAGTATAATGTTGACATAATCAGTCCAATCAAAGCTACTGTAGATATAACGTGATTTGACATAATTTTATCTATGGCCAATGACCTTGAGCCTTCTTGGATGGACACTTCTAATGTAACTCTAAGGCAGCACCCAAGGGGCTTGAATTTTCGAGCTCTACCTTTAGATTTTGTGGCGATCTACTGTCCCCATGAGTGACAGAACACTGAGCCAATAACGGCGCAACTAGAGAACATTACCAACCCCTACACTCCGTATTTTCCGCTGGCTGCCCCACCACCACAGAAAGCACTGAGCTAGGCTGAAACACCTGCATTTTGGAGCTGCCTTACTCAAGAAAGCAAAAAAGAGACCCATTTTGTGTGCGGCTTTATTAACTCAAGTATTATTTACTTTTTAATTGTTTGCAAACTGATATATGACACGTATTAATGCCAAAATAACATGCAAAACAGGTGAGCCTCAAACCACCTGCCTTGAATGACGGGTCTGTACTGCATAAGATACTCTTCCCTTTTGCACACACTTGATGCATGACCAAATATTTTGCATTTATGACACTGAAGAGGTTTGGGCACAAAAACTCTTAACAGGGTATCTCATGAATCCTAATTTTATATTAGAAGGGAGAGACTCTTCATCAAAGAACAAGTAGTATGGATTAAGTGCATTTATTTCCTCCATCCACCATACGGGTCAATCGACGTGCACCAATGGTAAACGGCCTGAGTTGGACGCCTTCATTTTTCCACGCTCCTTGAGACCGCGTCATGCTTTCTTGCAGGATGAGAGATTACAAAAACGTAGGCCTCGCGATATTATGAAACGTACTCTTTATTTACACCAGCGAATGAAGTCACGCGAGGTTTCTAATGACTTGACTAAATGCCACGTCTGAGAACGAATAGACACTTTTGAGACCCTTTGCTCTGTTTGGAAGAATTTGTCTGATAAACTATCATCGCTGCATAATTACAGCAGACAGGTGAGTGTGGGGCAATTCGCTTAAATTGTAACATTGTTGTCATCACCGCAAACGTTAGCTAACCGTTGTTTCTATTGTACTTTGCTAGTTAGTTAAGTATCCCGACAACTAACGCTACATGCAAAGATAAACTGCGACATTTGCATTCCTTTAATCGCATTCACAGCCAGACAGTTAGTGGCTAATGTTCACTGACTTGTTAGGTACAACAACAATCAACATCTTTCAAGCCATCACTTTAAGGGCAGCTAGCTACGTTAGCTACTCTGCAAGGCTACTTCCCCATTTAGGACCCTTTCCCTCTTCCTGAGTCAGTGTTTGACTCCTCATATATCCCCCTGGAAAAGTGTAGGCCTATTGCCTTACTTAGCAGAGGGCCATCATGGGGATGCTGTTAGGTGTAGCAAATGGGATGTCAATGGAATGTTTGATAATGTGCATTTTTTGTCTAGCTAGTTAGCCTAATATCTGTTACATGATAACTAGCTAGCTAAACCCATCCACAATCATGATGAAATTAAGCTGTTGATATATGAAACTAGTATTATTGCAGTTCTAAGGCAGGCTACTGTAACCATAGATTTTCCCTTTGTGTGTCTGTCCTAGGTGAGATAATGGCCCATGGACGTCTGCTAGCGTTAACACTGTTCTTGGGAGCAGTACTGTTGCTAGCCGCCCAGCTAACTGTTGCTCATAGCCACTCTCATGACCATGGGCATGCACACGAACACCATGGTCATGCACACGACCACCATGGGCATGCCCACTCGCACGGGGGCGGAGGTTGCGATGGTCATTCCCATGGCGGTCAGAAACTGCACCAGGGGGCGAGCAAGTGGAGTGCTGAGGCCAACCTGCCCCCAGCAAAGGAGTCGCATCACGGTCACGCACATGACCATGGGCATGAGCACAAGGAGGAGAGTGGACACGGGCACACCCACGGAGGGGAGAGGGTGAAGAGGGAGGCAGAGGTCGAGAAGAGGGACATAGTGGAGCTCTGGATTCAGGTATGGTCAGTGGAGACCTTGGAGCCATAAATGAAGGGACATGAATGTGTTATTGTGGATATTTGATACATGATTTTTGTCCAGATCATGTGCTACATTTAGATGTCCATTAGTGGTCATGGCCTACCTTCAATCAAATCATATGCAAAATGTAATATCTTTGTCTGTCGGTATACCTCCTGTTCATTCAAACAACTTCTTGACTTTCCTCCTAAGTCCCTGTGCAAACATAGGCTACCTATCCCTGTGCAAACATAGACTACCTATCACTTTTCAACAAACATTTCCCTTTGCCAGTGAGCCTGTTGCTAAGTTTGGTGTAGAGTTCTATTGACTAACTTGGCTTTGACAACTGGACCAGACAACCTGTCAATAACCAGTGTACTGTCAATAACGTTCTGTCGGTTTTGACTGCAGTCGAAATGCGTCTCTGTTATAAAGTTGATTTTTATTTGCCATGTTCAACAGGATTAGGTTTGTTCGACACTATTTTACCATTATTTAAATGTGCTGGTCAGCACTACTCAGCAGGTCAACTAATTAGGTACAGTCAATTGAAATGAATTGGACCTGAATTGGAATGTATTTATTTGGCATTCAATTATTGAAAGGATTGGAATCTAAGTACGTTTGTAGACAGGGAATATTTGTAATTTTTTTTTTGTCATTTAGCAGACGCTCTTATCCAGAGCGACTTACAGGAGCAATTAGGGTTAAGTGCCTTGCTCAAGGGCACATCGACAGATTTTTCACCTAGTCAGCTCAGGGATTAGAACCAGCGACCTTTCGGTTACTGGCACAACGCTCTTACCCACTAAGCTACCTGCCGCCCGGCTACCTGCCGGAATAGCCTTTCCTTATTTGATGAAGTCGATTAGATTGGTTTGATACCCTTGGAACTCAACACAGCCATCCTTATCAAGTGTGATATTATTTTACCACACACACAAGCACGCATGCTCACACACTTTTACAAATAGCCTCTTATGACCTCTGTCTGTTTTTTCTCTCCTATTCTTACCGTTAGGCCATCGGTGCCACTCTGCTGATCAGTGCAGCTCCCTTCCTCATCCTCTTCCTGATCCCGGTCCAGTCCAATACAGACCAGCACCAGAACCTCCTGAAGGTGCTGCTAAGCTTCGCCTCTGGTGGCCTGCTGGGAGACGCCTTCCTGCACCTCATCCCTCACGCCCTGGGTTAGAGACAGTATCACACAATTACTTGAAGTGAAGGGAGGGCATGCCACACCTTTTCCCCTAAACTATTGTTGTTACGGTAGATTTCTTAATTAAGTGAAAATAATTGATTGCCTAACTAGTTTATTGAATGTTTTTGGTTATGATTCTGGGATTTCATCTTTGCACAGAATAATCAGTGAAGAAAGTGTTACCTCTAAAATGAGCAAAAAAAAACATATGTATTGGTTTGTAGTTAAAATGATGTTGTCATGCCTGTCTGATATCCATTGTCTGTTTCTTTATTTTTTTATTTCTCATTATCTCTCTCATTCTCTCTCTTGCTTGTTTTCACAGAGCCTCACTCTCACCATGGAGACGAGGGACATGGCCACTCACATGACAGTGAAGAATCACAGGATCATGGCCACTCACATGGTATATCTCCATCATGATCTCTACATTTACAATCACCATCATACTATCCAGCTTATCCATTATATACCAGTATTTTCAATGCTTTAAGAAATCTAACATTCAAATTAAAAATGGCAATGACTCAATCTCGTCTACTGCCCCCATTTTGGCAAACAGCATGTCCCTGACGGTGCTCTTTATCACACCTGTAGGTGCCGCCCATGGTCACATGATGTCAGTAGGGCTGTGGGTCCTCGGTGGAATTGTGGCCTTCCTGGTGGTGGAGAAATTTGTTCGCCTCCTGAAGGAAGGACATGGACATGGACACTCCCACTCTCACGGTAGGTCTTCAATTTTAATTTGAGTTTGTAGTGCGGGGAAAAACAGAAGGCCAATTTTAATTGCCTTGAAATGATCCCTCTGTATGCAATGCATTTTTTTGCCTGTTGACCACTTACAGTGCGTTCGGAAAGTATTCAGACCCCTTGACTTTTTCCACATGTTGTTACGTTACAGCCTTATTCTAAAATTGATTAAATTGTTTTTCCCCCTCATCAATCTAGACACAATACCCCATAATGACAAAGCAATACCCCATAATGAGACCCCCCCCCCCCCCCGGAAATATCACATTTACATAAATATTCAGACCCTTTACTCAGTACTTTGTTGAAGCACCTTTTGCAGCGATTACAGCCTCGAGTCTTCTTGGGTATGACGCTACAAGCTTGCCACACCTGTATTTGGGGAGTTTCTCCCATTCTTCTCTGCAGATCGTCTCTAGCTCTGTCAGGTTGGATGGGGAGCGTCAGTGCACAGCTATTTTCAGGTCTCTCTTCAGAGATGTTAGATTGGGTTCAAGTCTGAGCTCTGGCTGGGCCACTCAAGGACATTCAGGGACCTGTCCCGAAGCCACTCCTGCATTGTCTTGGCTGTGTGCTTAGGGTTGTTGTCCTGTTGGAAGGTGAACCTTCGCCCCAGTCTGAGGTCCTGAGCGTTCTGGAGCAGGTTTTCATCAAAGAGCTCTCTGTACTTTGCTCCGTTCATCTTTCCTTTGGTCCTGACTAGTCAGTCTCCCAGTCCCCGCCGCTGAAAAACATCCCCACAGCATGATGCTGCCACCACCGTGCTTCACCGTAGGGATGGTGCCAGGTTTCCTCCAGACGTGACGCTTGGCATTCAGGCCAAAGAGTTCAATCTTGGTTTCATCAGACCAGAGAATCTTGTTTCTCATGGTCTGAGAGTCTTTAGGTGCCTTTTGGCAAACTCCAAGCAGGCTGTAATGTGCCTTTTACTGAGGAGTGGCTTCCGTCTGGCCACTCTACCATAAAGGCCTGATTGGTGGAGTGCTGCAGAGATGGTTGTCTTTCTGGAAGGTTCTCCAATCTCCACAAAGGAACTCTGGAGCTCTGTCAGAGTGACCATTGGGTTCTTGGTCACCTCCCTGACCGAGGCCCTTCTCCCCCGATTGTTTAGTTTGGCCGGGTTGCCAGTTCTAGGAAGAGTCTTGGTGGTTCCAAACTTCTTCCATTTAAGAATGATTGAGGCCACTGTGTTCTTGGGAACCTTCAATGCTGCAGAAAGATATGTGCCTCGACACAATCCTATTACGGAGCTCTATGGAAAATTCCTTCAACCTCATGGCTTGGTTTCTGCTCTGACATGCACTGTCAACTGTGGGACCTTAAATAGACAGGTGTGTGCCTTTCCAAATCATGTCCAATCAATTGAATTTACCACAGGTGGACTCCAAGTTTTAGAAACATTTCAAGGATGTTCAATGGAAACAGGATGCACCTGAGCAAAATTAAATGTCTCATTGCGAAGGGTCTGAATACTTATGTAAATAAGCTATTTCTGATTTTTATTATTAATAATAATAAATAAATAAAAATGATAACCTGTATTCACTTTGTCATTATGGGGTATTTTTTGTAGATTGATGAGGAAAATTGTTTAATTTAATACATTTTAGAATAAGGCTGTAACGTAACAAAATGTGGGAAAAGTCAAGGGGTCTGAATACTTTCCGAATGCACTGTATGTATGCATTGCATGTGGTCCCGTGTAGCTCAGTTGGTAGAGCATGGCGCTTGCAACGCCAGGGTTGTGGGTTCGATTCCCACGGGGGGCCAGTATGAAAAAATGTATGCACTAACTGTAAGTCGCTCTGGATAAGAGCGTCTGCTAAATGACTAAAATGTAAAATGTATTGTTATGGAATAGGTTGGGTAGTTAAATTGACATTTTTGTCATTTAGCAGATGCTCTTATCCAGAGGGATTTACAGGACCAATTAGGGTTGTGCCATGCTCAAGGGCATGTCAACAGATTTTTGACCTAGTCTGCTCAGGGATTAGAACCATCGCTGGTTCTAATCCCTGAGCAGACTAGGTCAAAAATCTGTTGGTTACTGACCCAACGCTCTTAGTTTAGGGCTTAGGAGCATAATTACACTACACTACAACTTCCACACTCCATCCCCAGGGGGCAGCAGTTGGTTGGTCAGATGCTCTGCCAAAAAGTATTGTGAAGCCTTGATAAGCACACAGGTGTGAGCAATTAGGATCTGCAATCAGTGAGATGTTTTTTTGTTGTCATCTTTAGTTTTGGTGCAGGCCTTTTCGTACTTTCGTTTTTGTATATATTTATTTTGTCACTGAACAAATGATAATCTCCTTGGGCTGGCCGACTCAGGTGTCAGGATTGAGCAGGCCCTGGAACCAGGTAAAGTGGCTGTCTCTTGGGCACATGCATGCAACATGGTCCACATACTCTGTCCTCTCTCATAAATTCACACCGTAAAACAGGTTACAGACCATTTAGACCCCTAGACCTAGCGAATGTAGCCAAATCATTAGGCTAGCTAGCTGGGTTTGTAACACGATCTCTGGGTCCATTTATGAGATTTTCCTCTTGTCGAGAGTGACTGTATGGTTGGGTGATTTGATGCTACTCTTCTACTTTTGGTATGAGGCAGTATCAGTACACCAAAGAGTTGTGCACAACATTCTTATTTTTTAGCCTATTTTCTGGTCTCCTATTTTCAGCTGCTCCTAAGGAAAAGGACAGTGACAGGGAGGAAGAAAAGGAGGAGGGTGAGAAAGATGAGAAGACTCCAAAAGAAGTGGAGGAGAAAACTAGAGGTAAGAGTTGACTAATTGCCACTTAATTTCTTAGTGGGCAGTTTGCCTTTACTGAAATGGCTGTTTTTAAAAATCTCTAAACCAATTTAGCTCCAAGGGAATATTCACTTTATACCAGCCTCCCATCAAGCCTGTTTCTCTGTTATTGCATGTAAGTGTTGCAATTATTGTCCTTCTCCCTTCTCAATATTAAAGCAGGGCAAACCCGTTTTGGTGAGTTCTGGTACATCAAAATAAATCAAACACGTTTTTGGACTCATTCAGCAGTTTTTACCTGATTTATATACAATACCATTGGAAATGTATGTTGAATGTTCAATATATATTCCTAAAAATGTAAGTTGAAAATTAAGCTGTCGCTGTTTCCTGTTGACAAGACATTTTGATAAATATCCCAATGTGAAAACAGTTTTAATGTGTCCAAATCAATAACCAATATGCAGAAACAGTTCCTGATATATTGTAAACCTAAACATAAAATGTACTATCTACACATACATGTGCAAGAATAGTAATCAGATTACTTGTATTTTTTTTTAAACAAGCACCTTATAAACTGCACACACACCAAATCGATAGATCACTCATATCTATTGTTGAAACTACCACAACTCAAAAACCACATGAAGACTGGAGATATTTTTTCATCACTGGTTAGAGGACAACCTGCAGAAGGAATTTTCGTATTTTGATACGGGGGTCACCAACAGAAATAGAAACGCAGCGCTGTTTTGTCAATCACTCATGTATCGATTATCACGTTGAAATCAATTCCGCGTGAAGGGGGAGAAGAGGTTGCACATCCTCTTTTAAAAGTAGCAAACTGTGGGGCGCGGGGTCGGCAGGGGAGGCGCCCCACAGGAACTCAGTCCGGCTTTAAACTTACTCTTGAAAGTTGTAATAGTAGAATGCGCAAGGTGCAATTTCGAAATTGGGTAGCGCATCGTAAATTGTCATGTTAGTCATTGCATACTTTAGAGAGCTATTTATAGCTAGTCAGAAATGTCCAGATCAACTAGCCCATGTCAGCTGTTTTTTTTATTTAGTTTTTTATAGCCCATAGATATTGTTGTAATTTGTCACTCAAATATCACATTAAACATGGCAAAATGTATAGAATTGCAAGAAACTTTGCTTTAAAACTGCAACATTTTCTTTGCACCCCAAGACAAAATGTGTAGATTTGCAGGGAATAAGCTTTAAACCTGCAAAATTATCTCCACCAACAAGAGGGGTGTGAACAGTTTGTGTCATGAACAGTGCTTGTGCCCATAGAAATAGACGTGGCATGTGCACGCGCATGCAGGGGGGGGGGGGGGCGCGGGACGTTCCCCAATGCGCGGGACGTTCCCCAATGCGCGGGATGTTCCCCAATACATATATTTCTTCGTACTTTAAACATGGAGAGAGTTAACAAATGCGTCTAAGCACTGTTTAACCAGGTGCTCTAGACTAAAGTTCTTAGGGTCTGTGCAGCAGGCTGAACGTTTGACGTCCCTATCAATATAGATATCAAGGTATCGGGCTACCTGAACCTGGCTGCTGACTTCACACACAATTTCACTGACGGGCTGGCCATCGGAGCATCGTTCCTGGTGGGCCCAGCAGTAGGCACAGTCACCACTCTCACCATCCTACTGCACGAGGTGCCCCACGAGATTGGCGACTTTGCCATCCTGGTCCAGTCTGGCTGCACCAAGAAGAAGGTAATGCACAAGCTTCAGCTTTTCATAACAATTGATGTTACACATACTGATGTCACACAGGAAATGAAAATGTGCTTGAATGTGTACTGAAACATGCTTGGTACAAGTTGTCTGTCATGACTACAACACAACGCCTATTCACACATGGTGGCAGCCGTAGGATTAGTCGGTCTTTTCTGTTTGAACAGCCTGTATGAGAGAGTCTCTGTAGGTAGAGATGTCCATTGACAACTTCCTCTTTCCCATCAGGCCATGTGTCTACAGCTGCTGACAGCTTTGGGGGCTCTTGCCGGCACAGCCTGCTCCCTATTGGCTGAGGGGGTGGGCGCGGCTGCCACAGCCTGGATCTTGCCATTCACCGCGGGTGGCTTTGTGTACATCGCCACGGTGACGGTCCTGCCTGAGCTGCTGGTTGGGCGCTCCAGTCTGGGCCAATCGGTGATGGAGATCCTGGCGATGCTGGTTGGAATTTACATGATGGTGCTAATCGCCGAGTACGAGTGAGACATCGAGCCATCAATAAGAGGGTGGTAGTGATTTGAGGAAGGAGAGGGAGGTATTTGGAGAGGGGAGGAGGAGAGACTGAACCAGAGAGATGGATTTTGATGATTGTTATGATTGGAAGGAAACAGTCTGATAAAGAGCTGAGAAGTGACCGACAGAACTTTCACAGAACTGGACTATTTGTTCCAAAGAGGACCTGAATAGGGAGTAGCATTTCAACACCAACCAACTGGAGGATGATGACCAAGAAGATCTGAACTGTACAAAGTCCTCATCAGCAGGACTGTCACCATGTCTAAGTCAGATAGGTCATCAAACTGAGACTTAGGCAAGCAAGGCAGATGACTCGGGAGTTGTAATCCATTCCCTTTTTGGTAACAAAAAGGCAACCCAAAACAATAGACGTTTAAGTTGCTGTTTACTATTGAATCTGTCCATTAGTTAAAACTAAAATCAAGAATGGCCTCCACACCAATATTTGTAATGCTTACTTTTGCCTTTTAATTGTACTTTCAGAGATCACAGATTGAACACAATAGAACTAGACAGTTAAGTGGTTAGGGGATTTTCATGGATTTAAAAGGTTATTTTTGGATCAGTATATTAGTCTATAACTGGAACATTCTAATTAAATTAAAAGGGCATTACATTGTAACGTATAGCCCATAAACCAGGTCCCCAAACAGCAGCCATCTTGGATACTTGACATTGATGAGGCCAAGAGTGTCCTGAAATGTCATCAGCTTCCTGAATGGGACTTATTGGGAAAGATGAGTAAGCTTCTTTAGATGTAGTACACAGCAGTTACTGACCAAGCTAGCTAGGAAGATATACTTGTTAAAAGGTTTTCATACCTGCATAATGAGGAAGTACAGTAAATGTATGTATTTAGGGCGGGCTATCCATGTGGAACTTAACCGATTATCCAGTGACAGGATTCGGGGGAAGTAGACACAGTCCTTCAAAACTAATTTATTAAATACTACTTCATTGTAATGTCTTGACCAAGTGATATTTGCCCTTCTTTTGAACAACTGAATGATGAACCCTCTTCCACATTTGTTTAGTGTTTATAAGCCACTGCTGCAGCAGGTTTTGTTGAATTGTAACATTTATAATTTTTTGGCATTCAAACATGTTCTCTTGCGTACAGTACTCAAACCTGCACTAAATGCATCTGCTCTCCCTCCACTCTTGACGAATACAGTAGGCCTTATGTGTCATTAAGACAATCAATGCTGTAGCTGTTGTGCGTTTAGAAAGAGCTCCCTCACCCTAAACCATTCTGCATGTACACGACTGCATCTCTGGCCTGATTCCAAACCGATCCCATGCCCCTATCCACAGAAACTTGTTGACCTTCTTTCTTGTGGATCTGAAACTGTTTTTATTGCCAATATTGTACAGTAAGCTGCTTTACCTAGGTATCTGTGATAAGTAGGTAGTTTCCATCCAATGTATTCCTGACATCGACAGTCTTATCAGATGCTTCAGGTTGTCAACATTGGCCTATCGATGGGTGCAATGGCTTGATTTGGAATCCTACTTTTTAATCAAGGAGGGACCAAGTAAAGGACTAATGTTTACAGTAGTGGGTGGGAGATTTGTTAAGAGCGGGGGCGAAGAGGAGTGTGGTGGAATTTTAGTTACTTTGTGTTTCTTGACTTTTCATTAAACAATTAAGATTCTCTCACAATGTTTCACTATCTTTTACTGGGTACCTGTTTCTCATTAGATAATTGATGCAAGAGAATATGAAAAATACAAGCAATCCAATACTTGATTAGCCTGTAATCCAACCTAGGTTCAATATTAAAATAAAGAATTGATCACAAACCATAGACAGGCTAAATGTGGCCATATTCTTAAAGACACTATATATACAAAAGTATGTGGCCACCCCTTCAAATTAATGGATTTGGCTATTTCAGCCACACCCATTGCTGACAGATGTATAAAATCGAGCACACAGCCATGCAAATTCCATAGACAAACATTGGCAGTAGAATAGCCTTACTGAAGAGCTCAGTGACTTTCAACATGGCACCGTCATAGGGTGCCACCTTTCCAACAACTCAGTCAAATTTCTGCCCTGCTAGAGTTGCCCCGGTTAACTGTAAGTGCTGTTATTGTGATCACAATCCTGCAATAAAGAGGGGAAGGGAATCTGTCGCTAATTTGTCTGTTTCTGTGTTGTATGATTTGATTGTCGCTCTTTTTTCAGGATAATCAGCCATGTGAACCCATTTTGCAGCTGATAATGGCATGTAATGCCAATGCAGCCATAGGCCTACAGCAGTGGTTCCCAACTCTGGTCCTTGAGTAACCCCAACAGCACACATATTTGTTGTAGCCCCAGACAAACATACATGATACAACTTACAGTGCATTCGGAAAGTATTCAGATCTTTCACCTTTTCCACATTGTTACGTTACAGCCTTATTCTAAAATGGATTAAATGAGTTTTTCCCCTGATCAATCTACACCCAATACACCATAATGAGGAAGCAAAAACAGGTTTTTAGAAATTTGTGCAAATGTATATAAAAAAAATGGAAATATCACATTTGCATAAGTATTCAGACCGTTTACTCTGTACTTTTTTGAAGCACCTTTGGCAGTGATTACAGCCTCAAGTCATCTTCGGTATGACGCTACAAAATTGGCACACCTGTATTTGTGGAGTTTCTCCCATTCTTCTCTGCAGATCCGGTCAGGTCCGGTCAGGTTGGATGGGGAGCGTCGCTGCACAGCTATTTTCAGGTCTCTCCAGAGATGTTCGATCGGGTTCAAGTCCGGGCTCTGGCTGGGACACTCAAGGACATTCAGAGACTTGTCCCGAAGCCACTCCTGCGTTCTCTTGGCTGTGTGCTTAGGGTCGTTGTCCTGTTGGAAGGCGAACGTTCGCCCCAGTCAGGTCCTGAGCGCTCTGGAGCAGGTTTTCAAGGATCTCTCTTTACTTTGCTCCGTTCATCTTTCCCTCGATCCTGACTAGTCTCCCTGTCGCTGAAAAACAACCCCACAGTATGATGCTGCCACCAACATGCTTCACCGTAGGGATGGTGCCAGGTTTTCACACTTGACGTGAAGCTTGGCATTCAGGCCAAAGAGTTCAATCTTGGTTTCATCAGACCAGATAATCTTGTTTCTCATAGTCAGAGTCCTTTAGGTGCCTTTTGGCAAACTCCAAGCAGGCTGTCATGTGCCTTTTTACTGAGGAGTGGCTGCAGAGATGTTTGTCCTTCTGGAAGGTTCTCCCATCTCCACAGAGGAACTCTGGAGCTCTGTCAGAGTGACCATCGGGTTCTTGGTCACCTCCCTGAACAAGGACCTTCTCCCCTGATTGCTCAGTTTGGCCGGGCGGCCAGCTCTAGGAAGAGTCTTGGTGGTTCCAAACTTCTTCCATTTAAGAATGATGGAGGACACTGTGTTCTTGAGGACCTTCAATGCTGTAGAATTTTTTGGTACCCTTCCCCAGATCGACACAATCCTGTCTCGGATCTCTACAGACAATTCCTTCAACCTCATGGCTTGGTTTTTGCTCTGACATGCACTGTCAACTGTGGGACCTTATATAGACAGGTGTGTGCCTTTCCAAATCATGTCCAATCAATTGAATTTACCACAGGTGGACTCCAATCAAGTTGTAGAAACATCACCAGAATGATCAATGGAAACAGGATGTACCTGAGCTCAATTTCGAGTCTCATAGCAAAGGGTCTGAATACTTATGTAAATAGGGTATTTCTGTTTTTTATTTTTAATACATTTGCAAAAATTTCAAATAAACTGTTTTCGCTTTATCATTATGGGGTATTGTGTGTAGATTGATGAGGAAAACAATTAATTTAATCAATTTTAGAGTAAGGCTGTAACATAACAAAATGAGGAAAAAGTAAAAGGAGTCTGAATACTTTCTGAATGCACTGTACAGATTAATCATTAGTTAGTCTCTTGCATAGATTAACATCGAACTCAGCAATAAATGCTCCTGTCTTCCCATTCATGGGATCCTTTGAACCATCTGTATACACTGCAAGACAAGAATAAAACTGATTACTAATATATTGGTTGACTATTGTTCCTACTTTATCTTCTTCACACCACTGTTTCCTTTCTTCTATCAGGCTAAGATCAACATGTGGTCTTATATAAAACCACGGTGGCACATTTCCTATTGCCACAGTCCATATTCATCAATCCTTTTTCCAATCTCTGGGCCAAAACCCGTCTTTTGATATTGTTCCTATTCCCAACAGTCTTCCAATACTGTCAGTGTAGGATGATCTACCATACTACCCTTCAGTCTTTCCCAGTATGCCAGGGCTAGCTTAACTCTTCTAAGGGATAGTGGCATTTCCCCAGTATCTCAACCGGTGTAGTTTTAAATGCACCATCTCACATCCTGAGTGCCCTCACTTGCATCCTATCAAGGCGCAACAGCGATGTAAAAGCCGCAGAACCATATACAAAGCACTCATAATCTACGGACGATCTCATCAAAGTACAATCAATATTCAGTAAAGATTGCCTATCTGCCCCCCAATCATAACCAACTATTGTCCTCATAAGATAGAATACTTTCATACATTTAGTCTCAATACATGTAATATGATGTCTCCATGTAAGCTTTTCATCAAACCATAGCCCCAAATACTTAAATTATGTTACCCTTTCCATTCGTTCTCCATATAATTGAACACTGACATCTTCCTTAATCTTTTTGTTAGTGAACAACATAGGGCAAGATTTAGATACAGATAACTTATAACCCCATGATAAGGACCATTCCTCTACTGCTACAACAGCACCTTGCATTTTCTCTATTACATAAGGAATATTCCTTCCCCTTTTCCAAATGGCACCATCATCATGCATATAACCCCTATACCCTGTCCAATATCCACAAAGATATCATCAATTATCAACGTGAATAAGATAGGATTAATAGCACTACCCTGTGTTCCATTTTACACCTCATATTCTCTTGATTACTCCAATCCCACCCTGACCTGGAAGGTTCGGTCAAACAAGAAATCCATAATCCAGTTATACATTCTCCCACTAATACCCATTCAATTTAATCAGTAGACCTTCCCGCCACATTGTATCATATGCTTTTTCAATATCAAACTATTGACATAACTTCCTTCATTGTCAAAGCTTTGGTCACCTCAGTACTAACTTTAACTAATGCATCAAGGGTAGTCCTTCCTTTTCTGAATCCACTCTGGAATGAACTTAATAGACCCCTATATTCCAGATAATACATCAATCTTCCTACAATCAACTTTTCCATTAATTTACAGAGATTTGATGTAAGTGCAATAGGTAGCAATAGCATATTTCCATCCTGATGGTAGCACTCCTGTCCTCCATATTTTGTTAAGTAAACTCAAAATCATTCCCAAAACTTCTGTAGGCAGATGTTTAAACATAATGT